CTACTTCTGTATAAAAAAGCAGACAGCTTTTTCGCATAGTCCATAATGATCTTGACATTGTAGTGGTCCGTTCTTCTTCTTTCTATGCCTATTTCACGCACCCTTCTTGAGCTTTGAAAACAACTGGAGCTGGACTCCAGCACTCACACACAGACTCACTAACAGACTTGTTCACACACCTTTCTGAGAACACCACCCAGAATCCCTCTTCTCAACAGACAAAGTTAGGATCGCAACTGGTGCTTTCCTAAAAGCAACCGCAAGCCTTCCAAGTCAGCCTGCACAACGGCTCACACAAGGACAAACACACTGCCCACATGTCTCCTGAGGAAAATGTACCCCAAAGGTTTGCATAAAAGTCACTCTTTGAGTACAAATGCTTCCTTAGATTTTGTTTCTTTTACACTTTCATTGATAAATGCATTCATAAAAACACCTTTATGTAAAACAGATTTTATAAAACTACCATTTCTTAGATATGCAGTGCATTGTGTTATAGATTCAAATATATGTATGGGAAGCTTTTAAACATCATGGAAAAAAGCACACCTTTTCATTTCTATTTCTTTCATGAACATACTGAATTGCCCCTTTTGTGTAACAAACATATTGAAAACTTGGTATGATTCATGGCTCATATTCACTGTCTCAACATATTGTTATAGGATGTGTATCTGACCCTACTTTACTTTACTTGTGATTCATTCGGTTGATTATTAACTAGAAAACATGGCTTTTTATTTGCAAAATGGAAATATGTGGATGTACAATTCCTAGTGTATACTTTGTTGGATAAAAATACAAATTTGGGCTTAGCCTTTTTAAATCCATTACAGGTTGAGCTGGAAGCTATGTGTTTGGCTATGTATCCCATGTCACTACATACTTTTGTCTTTACATATGGAAAGGTATAGAAATAAGTGTGAAATATATATACAAGTTGTAGCCTTTTTAAAATTTTGCAAGACAACTTGACTGTGTCATTTAAAACTAGGAAATGCAAGTGACTGATAGCAAGCAAAGTAGGAGGTAATTCTGAGGCAACTACATGTATTATTTATTGAAAAGGAAGACAACAGAAATCCACAATATCCATATGAAAAAGGTGAAGATTTTCAGCACCAGGAAACCAGTTTCCCAACTTTGTTACATTGTGATATTGCATTGGACACTGTGATCATAGGGCTGACACTCCCACCATCAGAGAAGAAAGCAAGCCTGAACATGTGCTCAGGCACAAATTACGTGCTTAAAATGCATAGATCAATTTTGCTCGTAACAGCCAAAACAGAACTTCAATACCTGTCACTACCAATTGTTTGAAAGATAATAAAACCTAACTTCACCAAAAGACTTCCTTCCAGTCTACAAGACCATGCCAAATTCGTATGTGCTGACCTATAAGGATGTCTATCATTGAATAAGTTATGCAATTATCTGATTCAGAAATTACGTCCAGCCTGATAGCAAATCTCCCTCTAATTCAACACTTGTGGAAATTACAGTAGGAATAAGCACATAAACACTCAGCAAACGCGTAGACAGCTACTTATCCAACCTTTTTTATTTATGTCAGGATAAATAAATGGAGAAATTATCTTTCATACTATACTTTTTGTGTTTTTCCAAATTTACTATTTAAATATGCAACGTGTAACAAATGTACAATGTCATCAAGCCATACACATAGCGTCAATCAATTAGAACAGTTGGCAACATTGCCTTATGCACCAACAAGAAGGTGGCACAAGCACATTAGTCAGCTACATACAATAAAACTACTTCACAAATCACAGTCAAACACAAGGTTTGTTATTTAACCAGAATACCAAAGCATGCTAATCCTTCCAGGCTAAAGGAGCTGGAACTCACCTTCGACAAAGGTTTCCCCCCGTGGCAGTTGATGCCACCCACGTAGACCATGTTGGGCATCACAGGTTTGGGATAGTCAAACACAAAGTCAGTTCTTATCAGCCAGATTGAGGTGTGGCTGAAGAGGTCATAGAGTGTGACAGGCTCTGGGAAAACTTCAGAAGCAAAATCTAAGACACTTTTGAAAAAATGGTGGCAAAATAAACGCTCTTGAAAATGAGTGATATGATTCCAAACTCTCTCCTTGAAGGTCATGACATCTGAGGAGCTTACAAAATTCAGAGGAACATAAGAAAGAGGATTGGGACACTGTGTAGCTTCCCGAAGATAGTGGCAAAATACTGCCCTGGTGAACACCACAGATGGCAGTGATAAATATTTGGCCACAATTAAGCCACACATATCAAAAGGTTCTACAAACACTGCATCAAAAGAGCTTTCTTTCAAATACTCCACTAATTTCTTGTCATTAAACAAACTCCTACAATGAGAAAAAACGAGTTCAAAAAAATTATATCCTGAACCCATCCAAAGAGAGACCATGTTGTCATCACGAACTGTCCAATGGGTTCCAGCAAAATCCTTCATTGCACGGTCTATGTCTTCTAGGGTGTAAGACGTCTTGTAGCTCTTCACTGTACAATTCAGGGACTGTCCCAGTTGCCAACTCACCTCTGGCATGACAACAACCAACTCATGCCCTCTCTCAATGAGCTTCTCCACCACCGAGCGCATGGTAAACCAGTGACTGCCATCCATGGGGACCACCAGCAGCTTGCCTGCCTCACCTGAGCCAGAGGCCAGCAGCAGGCACACACACAGGGGAAGGAGACCTGTCTTCATTGCAGAACAGTTTGCTGAGCTGTGGCTTGAGCAACCCAGCTGCTGGGAGACTCAGCTGAGAACTGTGGTTGGCAGAAAAAAACTGATATAAAACCCTTCCCATAAAAAGGGTGTGTTTTCACATAGGCCATATACATAGTCAATCATTAGCTGTGAGAGATAGACATCTGCGAGATATATGCATTGATATGCATACATATCAATGATTTACTTGGACAACATGAGAAATGAATGCCATTTACTTGGACATGAGCTTGAATGTTTGCACAAAGGATTAGCATATATTTGCTGCACGGGAAAGGACACACCTTCCTGGCATTATGAGTTAAGCAAGAGATTGTAAGGGATGACTTTATACCTGGAGGACACACAAACACAAACACACACATCCTCATGAGAACACTCTCCACCCACACCTCCACAACAGAAGACCAAGTTAGAATAGCAAACCATCCTTTCCTGAAAGCCATGGCAAGATTTCTTAGAGGCAGCCTGAACAGCTGCCCAGTCAATGCAGAACACACATTGTCCACATGTCCTGATGAAAATGTACCCCAAAACTTTGCATCAAGGCTCCGTTTTGAGTCTAAATGCTTCCTCGAGAATTTGTTTCTTTTAATCATTATTCATAAATGCATGCGAAACACCTTTAATATAAAAGGAATTTCATCGATCTATACCAATTGTTGGAAATATAATGGCTTCTACTATGCAATCAAACATATATATATAAAAGAAACTTCTAATCATTCAATGAAAAGACTCATTCTTTTATTTTTCCTTTTGCACGACCATGCTTAAGTGCCCTTGTGTGTAACCAACATATTGAAAACTCTGAATGATTCAGTGGCCCACAGTCTATACATTTCGTTAAGGGGTGTGTACTTGTAACCACCGCCCATGAAGCAATGTGCCTCCCTGAACTCTGCCAGCTCAGGAAGCAACAGGGCCCCATCCTTGGGCAGAGGGCAGTGCTACATGCAACATTGGGTGGGACCTGCTCAATAGTAGTCAAATGGAAGAGACGCCCTAGGAACAGGCTCAGTCTCTGGCACTACTACCACTTGCCCTCCATGGCTGCTCTTGCCAAGAGAGCCAACTCATTCATATATTTGATAAGTCTAAGATTGCAATCTCACCGCATTTTAGAGAAAACAACTTTCACACTCCCATCAGCTGGATAAAAAGACACTTAGACAAACCTCTGCCAACATCTGAAAGAAGATCTCATCTCTGCTAGCTTCCCTGAGCAAGCTGTGGCACTAACTGCCACCTTCAGGGAAAGAACAAGGTCATTTCTTAAGGTCACCAGCACCACACACCCAGGACATGACAAGAGAAATTCTGCTATTCCCCATTCGTGCCCTGAGTGGGTGGGTCAAAATCAAGCCCAGGACCTCCAAGCTCTGTTGCTTCTGGAACTCCTCCTGCACTCAGTTGCCAGAGCAGCCCTTCCCTCCCAAGCAGACACCTGCCTCTGGTGTTTCTGAGTCAGGTTCCTCTGGAGCAAGCTCATCTCAAACATACCACCAGGGACCCTCTAGCAGAAATACGTGTCAGAGTTGCAGAGTGGAGGAACCTCACCATCACAAACACCTGTTTCCCAATAGTCTGTACAGGAATCTCTTCCTACACATGCTGCTGTTTTCCAACATTGCCAGAGGTTCCATTCTCAGTTCAGTAAAGTGCTTTATCTGCAAGGTTGGGCAGCAGGTTTCCTGACATGGTTATTTGGATGTTTATTATATCCTTTACATGTCTTCTCAAAAAAAGGAATTGATTCTTGAACTAAACGCACTGTGATTCTGTGTTGGACATTGTGACCCTAGCGGTAATGCTCCTGCGTACTTGAATGAAGGAAGGAAGGAAGGAAGAAAGGAAGGAAGGAAGGAAGGAAGGAAGGAAGGAAGGAAGGAAGGAAGGAAGGAAGGAAGGAAGGAAGGAAGGAAGGAAGGTGAAGGAAGGAAGGAAGGAAGGAAGGAAGGAAGGAAGGAAGGAAGGAAGGAAGAAAGGAAGGAAGGAAGGAAGGAAGGAAAGAAGGAAGGAAGGAAAGAAAGAAAGAAAGAAAGAAAGAAAGAAAGAAAGAAAGAAAGAAAGAAAGAAAGAAAGAGAGAAAGAAAGAAAGAAGGAAAGAGAGAAAGGAAGAAAGAAAGAAAGGGAAAAAAAGAAAAAAAAAAGAAAATTAGAAGATGGACTCTTGTAAAACTCTTGATCATTTTAGAGAAAATTTGATTTTCCTAGGACTTCCTTTCATTTTGCAAGACCACACCAAATTTGCATTTTTGGTTTATAAATATTAAGACTGATGTGCAAGTAAAATTGCAAAGTAAAGCTAACGGTCATTATATCCATCCTGATATCAAACCTTATTTTAATTAAACAGAGGAAGATATTTGCATTACATATAAACATAAACTGAACAGATACATACAAAGATACTAAAAAATTTCTCTAAGGTTGTCTGGGTAAACCAACATAAAATTATATTTCAACTGAGTTTCTCATTATTTTTTCAAACAAATATTTTAGAAATGTAGTTGGGTATTATATACTATGAGGTCAAGAGTCACAGAAACATTTCAATGAGAAGAGCTTCACCATATTTGTTGATGTGCCAAACAAGAAATCCACACTGTACATTTTTTCAAACTGGAACAATTAAATTAAAGCACAAATCACAGCAGAGCAGTTTTTCTTGAATATTAATAAAAAAAAAAAAAAACTTTACTCCCTCCAGGCTAAAGCAGCTGGAACTCACCTTCGACAAAGGTTTCCCCTCGTGGCAGTTGATACCACCCACGTAGACCATGTTGGGCATCACAGGTTTGGGATAGTCAAACACAAAGTCAGTTCTTATCAGCCAGATTGAGGTGTGGCTGAAGAGGTCATAGAGCGTGACAGGCTCTGGGAAAACTTCAGAAGCAAGTTCTAAAATACTTTTGAAAAAATGGTGGCAAAATAAACGCTCTTGAAAATGAGTGATATGGTTCCAAACTCTCTCCTTGAAGGTCATGACATCTGAGAAGCTCAACAGACCTCTTGGAACATAAGAAAGAGGATAGGGACACTGCGTAGCTTCTCCAAGATAGTGGCAAAATGCCCCCCTTGCGAACACCACAGATGGCAGTGATAAATATTTGGCGACCACTAAGCCACACATATTAAAAGGATCCAGAAACACTGCATCAAAAGAGCTTTCTTTTAAGTACTCCACTAACTTCTTGTCAGTAAACAAACTCCTACAATGCGAAAAAATGAGTTCAAAAAAATTGTACAATGGACCCTTCTTAAGGTTAAATAAATTTTTCACCGGAATGTACCATTGAGATCTGGCAAAATCCATGAACACACGGTCCATATCTTCCAGGGTGTGAGACGTCCTGTAGCTCTTCACTGTACAATTCAGGGACTGTCCCAGTTGCCAACTCACCTCTGGCATGACAACAACCAACTCATGCCCTCTCTCAATGAGCTTCTCCACCACCGAGCGCATGGTAAACCAGTGACTGCCATCCATGGGGACCACCAGCAGCTTGCCTGCCTCACCTGAGCCAGAGGCCAGCAGCAGGCACACACACAGGGGAAGGAGACCTGTCTTCATTGCAGAACAGTTTGCTGAGCTGTGGCTTGAGTAACCCAGCTGCTGGGAGTCAGAGTCAAGTACTGCGGTATGCAGAATAACATAGACACAAAACCTGCCCACACAAGGGGCACAATTTCCTACAGCCAAAAAAAAAAAAAAAAATTTGGAAAAGAAGATGCAGCCAATGATTTACTCGGAACAAGAGTGAGCAAGGGGCAGTATTTGCTGAAATAAGTGCTTTATTCTTCATAGACAATAATTAGCTAACAATCAGTGACTTGGGGATTGTCATACAATATTCTAGAATCTGAGTTTGGAAAGAGATTCTAAGTGATGCTTTTACAGGTTGAGGACACACACACACAGAAAAGAGATGGAATTTAATAAAGCTGTACATTTGAAATTTATCTAAACATACAACTCAGTGTTTATCCTTAGACTATCTAGGTTTTTTTTCATAAATAAATTGGCATCCAAGGGCCGACTGCAGCACCTTTAGCCTTGATGATTTCAATTCTGGTGGACACATTGCCCACCAGCATTGCTGCTGATTCTTTGGTACTCTGCTTATTCGTTTCCAGGAGTGTTTTTCTCCATTTCCAAACTCTGAGTTCTTTGGAAAACTGAAATAACCTGAATAGTCCTGGTCTTGTGACCATCCCAGGGAATAGAAGATTATTATCTATTTTCAGTTGCTTTCCATCTGCTGTAGGTGTATTCCAAACAGCTTGGTGCATTCTTTCAGGATTTTGTGAGTCGTTTGTTAGGTTTCTGTGACCACACCCTGATGTCAGGGCTTTATCTCCATGCTTTCACCCTTCAACAGTACACATGCTGTGCCCCACCCCAGGGAGGGCAGTAGTGCACCCACCATCTGGATGGGGCCTGGTGTTGGTTCAGTAGAGGGTAAAGGGGAGAGACGTCCCCCAGGAACAGGCTCAGCCTTTTGCACTCCTATCACTCACCATCCATAGAAGTCTTCCAAGAGGACATAGTTATCTGCAACCCATTCAGGACTAAGATAGCAATCTTACAACATGTAAGAGCAAACAATATTTCATAGTCCCATCATTTGGCTAAAAAGACACGTAGACAAACAGCTGCCAACATCTGGGACAATATGACTCAAATATGAGATCTATTGAAGTGTAAGCAGCTAAAACTCCCTTCCCAATACAATAATGTGCTGATATATCATGTTAGCTTGGATGTAGCAGTTATGCAGTTGCCAAAGATCCTACTCTTGTGTTCGTCAAGACTTCTTCATTTACAAGTCTCTGAACCCCAGCTGATACCTTCCCGACTGATGAGATAACTCCATGATGCTTTAGAGGCATATGCCCCAATCCATCAGCCTTTCCTCTTACACCCAAGCTGCCATCAGCACAACCTCATCACCACCAGCTGGTTGTCAATAAGTCAGTGGGACCAAACTGGATAGTTGCTGCAGATGCCAACAAGCCAAGAACTGCAAAACACAATAAAGCCCCATATCAATTCCACGGGTGAAGAGCCCCTCCTGTTCGAGGTTGTGGAAACATGGCTCATCTACTGAGAGAAATATAAAAAATGATCACAGAGCCTGGAGCACTCACTGTAAACAATCCATAAAATCATCACTTTAAAATATAAAGTGGGGAAAAGATTTCTATACTTCAGCCTGGAAATATCTTCAACAAGTCGAAATGCAGACCACTAAGAGAAAGGTCCACTAGTTTGACTAACCCAGAAATTAAAACACTGTAGGGCACAGGGGAGGGATTCTCTTGACGGACCTGTGACAAAGAGCAGTGCCCATGTGCCCACGCTGAAGAGCAGAACAGCAATTTCTGCCTCCATACAAAACTCCTTCTGGCCTGGCTCCCAGGACCTGACCTTGCTGAACTTTGGACTATGGCCTGGGCAGCCAGTGCTGCTCCTGGCTGCCCTCAACAAGAGCTGGAGTTCCACTCCACAGAGCATAACACAGGATGGGCCCAGGATGTGTGGGGCCTGGGAGGCCGCAGCACAGCCACAGACTCCTAGGGAAGTGAGTTCCACACCAGCCTTGCCAATGCCTGATGAAGGATCTGAGGCTGTGCTTCAGAACCTCAGAGGACATGACTAGGGATGGTGAGTGCCCACTGTTACAGAGAAATTCCATGGACAAGCACTACCAGGAGTTTGAACACTCGCAAGAGAAAGAGCTCTCCTGCACACTCTCTTTAGTGAGTCAAGAACTTGGTAGAAAATTGACTAGAAGAACAGTGGATTTCTGGATTAAACAAGAGTGCTTTGGTATTCCATTATGATGAATAGGCTGTGGCTAGCTTCCCAGAACAAGTTATAGCACTCGGTCTCACCTCGAGAGAATGAATGGGGTCATTTCATAAGGTCACCTGCACCATACAAGTATCAGGACATGGCAAGAGAAATTCTGCAACCCTCCATTCATATCCAGAATACAGGGTCAAAATCAAGCCCTGGTCCCTCCCAGGTCTACAGCTCCTAGAAGATGCTGGCAATGAATACCAGAGGAGCCCTTCCCTCCCGAGCAGACACCTGCCTTGGGTGTTCGTGAATCAGATCCCTCTGGCACAAGTACATGCCAAAATGAGAAGAACTAAGGAAAAAAAATTACTTGTGATCCATCTGACTTGGTTTAGCACATCATTCAGCGCAAAATTATGAACTAGAAAACAAATGCCACATCTTTGCAAAAAGAAAAAAAATACAGAAGTTCTATTTCTACCACATGCCTTTTCTTGAGTAAAAGTAAGAATCTGGACTGAAATTAATATAGCTCATTAAAGATGTGCTAGAAGCTCTGTGTTTCACTATATAATTCTATCACTTAATACTGTTGTCATTACATATGAAAAGGTGCATATATAAATGCAAAATTTATAAACTGCTGCAGAGAGTAAGAGAGATCACGCCAGATGTGAGTGTAGGTTTGTAAGGAAGAGTCTTGGTTGGCCTTGCTTGGTGATAACGGCTCCTACTACGCTCCAGGAGCCATTGCACCTCATGGCTAAAGTCAGAGGTTTTTAAGCTCTCATCCTCCAATCAGCTTAGAGTCTCACATTACAAGGGGGAGGGGGCCCATTTCCAAGCATTTAATTAACCTTCCGTTTACTCATCAAACCTGCCCACTGCTTGGTTGCACCCCATCACTTAAAATGCATGATTTTTTAAAAATTGTCCCACAATTCTATGGTGCCAAATACAAAGCAAGAAATGAAAGTGGCTGATAGCTAGGAAAATAGGAAGTAAATACTGAAGCAACTACACACATTATTTTTGCGCAGAAAACCAAGAGAACAGAAACCTGCAAAAACATACATAAAAGGCAAGGCATAGCAACAAGAGGAAAGCAGTTCCTCAAACTTCTTTACACCATGATACTGCACCGGACACCACGACCCTACAGCTCAGGCTACTGCCTTCAGGACAAAAAGCAAGAACATGGATGTTATGAGCACAAATGAAGTGCTTCAGAATGTTTAGTTCCATTTTGCTCATAACAGCAAAAAGAAGGAAAGTTTGGATGCTTGTCACTATCAACAGTTTGAAGAAAGCCCAAATTGATCTTAAGACTTCTTTGCAATCTTGTAAGATCATTCCAGATTTGTGTGTTTTGACATTAAGAAATGTCTATAACTGATTGGTAGGGGAAAACAGTATGATAAAGTCCATTACGTGCACACTAATACCAAGTCTTTCTCTAATTAAATAGTTTTGACATTCACATGAAATACAAACATATAAACTTTAAACAGATGCATGCAAAGCTAAAAATAGAATTTTCTTAGGTATGTCAGTTATGTAAGGAAAAGCAAAGAGGGAAATTAACTTTCATGCTGTGCTTTGCACTATTTTTCCAAATCTGCTGTTTAAAAATGCAGCTTGGGACTCACTGCCATTGTCCATACCTACAATGTCAAGATATGCTTACATAGCAGAATGATGGACATGACCTTTTATGAGAACTATACTATTGTAATAATACAGGAAAAATCTATGGGGGGAGGGGATCTAGAAAGGTGGGAGAAAAATCACAGAGCTATAGAACCATATCATGAAAATAATTTTTAAAATAGTGTTTTAGAGAAAAAGATAGATAGATAAAATGCAACCTGAGATCATTTATTATGAGATGAAGTGCCTACACATACATGTCAATCAATGAGAAAAGACTTGCAACATTGGATAACATATCATACAAAGAATTCACACAGCACATTTAAGTTTCCAACAATGATAGTAAGTCACAAGTAACAGCTGAACAGCAGTCTTTCTTGAAAAAAAAAATGTTAAAGGAGCTAGGACTCACCTTCGACAAAGGTTTTCCTTCATGGCAGTTGATACCACCCACATAGACCATGTTGGGCATCACAGGTTTGGGATGTTCTAAAACAAAGTCAGTTCTTAACAGCCAGATTGAGGTGTGGCTGAAGAGGTCATAGAGTGTGACAGGCTCTGGGAAAACTTCAGAAGCAAGTTCTAAAATACTTTTGAAAAAATGGTGGCAAAATAAACGCTCTTGAAAATGAGTGATATGGTTCCAAACTCTCTCCTTGAAGGTCATGACATCTGAAAATCTTAACAGACCTCTAGGAACATAAGAAAGAGGATGAGGACACTGCGTAGCTACTTCCAGATAGTGGCAAAATACTCCTCTGGTGAACACCACAGATGGCAGTGATAAATATTTGGCAACCACTAAGCCACACATATCAAAAGGATCCAGAAACACTGCATCAAAAGAGCTTTCTTTTAAGTACTCCACTAACTTCTTGTCATTAAACAAACTCCTACAATGCGAAAAAATGAGTTCAAAAAAATTGTACAATGGACCCTTCTTAAGGTTAAATAAGTTTTTCACCGGAATGTACCATTGAGATCTGACAAAATCTTTGAACTCACGGTCCATATCTTCCAGGGTGTGAGACGTCTTGTAGCTCTTCACTGTACAATTCAGGGACTGTCCCAGTTGCCAACTCACCTCTGGCATGACAACAACCAACTCATGCCCTCTCTCAATGAGCTTCTCCACCACCGAGCTCATGGTAAACCAGTGACTGCCATCCATGGGGACCACCAGCAGCTTGCCTGCCTCACCTGAGCCAGAGGCCAGCAGCAGGCACACACACAGGGGAAGGAGACCTGTCTTCATTGCAGAACAGTTTGCTGAGCTGTGGCTTGAGTAACCCAGCTGCTGGGAGTCTCAGCAGAGTCCTGTAGTAGATGGGAAAAACAGACACAAAGTGTGTTCCAGGAAAGGGTGTGTTTTCACATTGTCCAGAAAATCAATTCACTACCAATGGTTTGCTCTCAAGAGTTAAGATTAGATCAATATGCTTAGATTCATACTTCCATGTTTCCAACCAGGAGTAGCTTATGAACACTGCCTGGAAAACAGAGCATGTGCTGTCTTGAAGAAAGTGTTCAGGAAGATATTGAGCACTGATTTTACACATTTAGCACTGAAAAAAAGATAAAAGAATCTGAGAAGTCATATTTATCAAATATGTCCAAATCACTACTTTTCACGTTTGATGTTCCCACTGGTCCCCTGCTCAGGAAGAATCCAACATCCCAGGATCCAAGAACAGCCTTGATCACATCAATAGCAGTGGAATTACTGCACACAAACATCTCTGTCCATACTGACAGTGCTACTTTAGTTCATTTCCAGAGTTCTCTTTCTATTTATAAACCGAGTTTCTCTGAATTGCTGAAATAACATCTAAATTCCTGGCCCTGTAAATCATCTCTGGGGTTTGATGACTGCCAACTGCTCTGTTTTGCTTTCCCCAGCTGCATGGCTGGCAATTAGCAAACCATTTGAAATCAGCCTGTCAGTGCCAATCCATAAAGCTTCATGTGGTAGGACAGGCATCCTCATGAACTTAAGGGACCATGCAGGCCAGCAGACAACTCACCCTTGTCAAAGCAATGATACAAGTCAGCCCTGCCATCTAATGACACAACCAGAAACACAGGTTATACTCAAGAGTGAACGAGGGTACAGCCACCATCAGGCATCAGCATCCCATGGAGGTGCTGGCTCATGTCCCAACTGCTGAATGCAAGGGATGGGCAAAGATCAGAAACCAAAGAGACAAAGGAGGACATTCTAAAATGATTAAAGGGGTCAATTCATCAGGAAGAAATAACAATGCAAAATAAATATAATACTCAATGATATAAAAGAATCGTAGAATGAACAGAAAGATGGAGTTCAATACAATAATGCCAGGAGACTGAAATAGCCCTAGAAGGGTAAAGTTCATTCAAATAGGAAACTTTTGACTTGAATTGCACTTCAGACCAAGCAGAACTCACAAGACTCAAACAGAACATTCTCTACAGAGACCAGCAAAATACATGTTCTTCCCAAGAACACACAGAGCCTTCTCCAGGAAAGAGCACATGGCAGGATGTGAAGAAAGCTTTACAGGACCCGGAACGGTGGCTCAGTGGCTAAATTCTTACTTTGCATGTGCAGGATCTCATATGGGCACAAGTTCGTGTGCCGGATGCTTCACTTCCCATCCAGCTCCTTGCTTATGGTCTGGGAAAGCAGTGGAGACTGGCCCAATGCATTTGGACCCTACACTTTTGTGGGAGACCTGGGAAAGGCTCCTGGATTCTGATTGGCTTGGAGTCATAGTAGCCACTTGAGGTGTGAGCCAATGGGCAAAAGCTGTTTCTCTGTGAATCTGCTTTTCCAGTAAAAAATAAATAAATCTTTTTAAAGAAAAATAAGCTTTAGAAAGTTTAAGGGGTGTGTCAAGTAGCTTTTCTCACCACAGTGTAAGACTAGAAATTAAGACAGAACGAATTTTGGAAAATTCTCAATGACACAATAATTTTAAAATACACACTTCAACAACAAATGGATTATTCAATAGAGATATTGAAATGGAAATTTTAAAACATCTTCCGATAAACAAAAATGGACATATCACATGCCCAAGTATTTGACATACAACAAAAGCAGTTTGAAGAAAGTTTATAACTATAAATGCTTATATAAAAAATAAAATCTCAAATTTAGAAAAATGAACATTAATCTGAAAGAATCAGAAATGAAAGAGATTAAAACTCAGATCAAAGAAATATCAGGCTCACATACCGAGATGCACAGGACGTCCCCAGAGGGAATCCTGAGGGACAGACACACTCAACGGATCAAAAAGAGCAAGGAAGCTGGATCAGCAATAACAATCCTCGGAAAACAGAACTCCCTAGAACTGATGTTTTCTAAGCACTGACAAACATTCATTACTCAAGTGATACCAGTCCGTTTCTAACTCTTCCAAAACATCCACAAAGGAGAATACTCGCAAGCTCTTTCTATGAAGACAGTATTGTCTTAAAACCAAACTACTTGTAGCCATAAAAAGAAAACCTCATACTGGTGTTCTAGATAAACACAGATGCAAAAATGCCCCAACACAATATCTGAAACTGGATTAAACAGTACAATAAGGGTCCCCTCATTCCTAATGCAGAAGACAAATTTACCCTGAAATTAAGGTTGATTCAATATATACAAATTGATAAGTAGAAAATATCACATGAAAGAATAAAAAACCATCCTGGAGCTGCAGAGAAAGTATTTGACAAAATGCAATACCATTTCATGACAGAAAAAAAAGAAAGAAAGAAAAACTCTTCCACCTTAGCTTTAGAAGGAGAGTAGCTGAAAGTGGTAAAATTCATAATTCATATACAAGAAATTCACAAACAACCTGTACTCAATGAAACATTGAAAGCCATTTTGAACAAGAGAAGGGTGTCCTTTCTTACTGTTTTTAAAAGAAATGAGAAAGAGACACGGAAGAGTGTAGGAAGAGCTCTTTCACCTGCCGGTTCACTCCTCAAATGGCCACAATGACCAGAGCTGAGCTGAGCTAAAGCCAGGAGCCAGGAGCTTCTTCTGGGTCTCCCATGTGGGTGTAGGGGACCAAGACCTTGAACCATCCTCCACAGCCAGTGTTACAGGCTAGGGATTAGCCTGCATGGCACCAGCCCCCATTCTCATCATTTCTATTCAGTGTGGTGTTAATTGGGCAAGAGAAGGAAATGGAAGGACTCCAAATAGGAAATGAAAAAATGAAGTTCACACTGCATATATACAACATGATCTTCTAAACAGAAAATTCCACTAAAAGATATTCTATTAAAACTAATAAGCAGAGCCTGGTGCCACAGCCTAGCAGTTAAAGTCCTCGCCTTGCACATTTCGGGATCCCATATGGGGTGCTGGTTTGTGTCCTGGCAACCCTACTTCCCATCCAGCTACCTGATTGCAGCCTGGGAAAGCAGTCAAGGATGGCCCAAAGCCTTCGGAGCCTGCACCTGCATGGGAGACCAAGAAGAAGCTCCTGGCTCCTGGCTTCAGATTGGCTCAGCTCTGGCTTTCTATCTCTATCTTTCTGTCTCTCCTTTTCTCTATAAAACCTTTCCAATAGAAATGATTTCTTAAAAATTTGGGGGCCTTTTAAAATGTCTATATTACACAAAGAATTCTACAGATGTAACATAATCCCTGTTAATATATCAGTGTCATCATTCACAGAAATGAAAAGAAATTCTGAAAATTCTTAGACTAACAAAAGACTTCTAGATAGCCAAGATATTCATGAGGCCAAGTGCAAAGTTAAAGATGTCATGCTACTGAGTTCAAACTGCACTGGAATCAGTGGCAATTCAAAGCACACGATGGTAAACCCAGAACTACAGTCAACTGATATTCAGTAAAGCTGCAAAGAATATGCAATGTGGAGGGCCCAGCAGGGTAGCCTAGTGGCTGAAGTCCTTGCCTTGTTTGCACCAGGATCCCATATGGGCAAAGGTTTGTTTCCTGACTGTTCTATTTCCCATCCAGCTCCCTGCTGGTGGCCTGGGAAAGCAGCCGAGGATGAGCCAAAGCCTTAGGACACGGGAGACCTAGAAGAAGCTCCTGACTCCTGGCTTTGGCTTGCCTTGGTTCCAGCCATTGTGGCCACTTGAGGAGTGAACCAGGAAACAGAAAATCTTCTGTCTCTCCCTCTGTAAAATCTGACTTTCCAATGAAAAATAAATAAAATATTTCAAAAAAGAATATGCAATATGGAAAGAATAGTCTCCTTGATGAACTGTGGTGGACAGAGACATCCATATAAAGGAAAGTCAAAACAGATCTTTCTTCAACACCATATTCAAAACTCAACATGTACCGAAGACATAAGTTCAATAACTAGTAAACTAAAAGAAATCATAAGAGAAATTATAAAACATTGTCCTATGCAAAGATTTTATAGATTTTTTTATCCCAGAAGTGCATATAATAGAAGCAAAAATGTTTAAATGAGATTTTATGAAGCCAAAAAAATGTGCACAGCAGGGGCCAGCACAATAGCTCAATTGGCTAATCCTCCACCCACAAGTGCCAGCACTCATATGGGTGCTGAGTCTTGTCCTGGTTGCTCCACTTCCCATCCAGCTCCCTTCTTGTGGCTTAGGAAAGCAGTAGGGGATGGTCCAGAGCCTTGGGACCCTGCACCTGCACAGGAAGCCCAGAAGAAGCTCCTGGCCCTTGACTTTGGATTGCCTTGGCTCCAACTGCTGCAGCCATTTATGGAGTAAACCAGCAGATGGAAGATGTTTCTCTCTGCCTCTCCTTCTCTCTCTAAATCTGCCTTTCCAATAAAAATAAATAAATCTTATTTTAAAAATTCTGAGCAATGAAGGAAGCAGTGTGCAGATACAGAAGGAGTTCAAGCAACTCAACGAGAAATAAAACATCCAGTTTTTTATGAGACTTATAAAGCATTTCTCAAAAGAATACGCGTAATAGACCAACAGATATACAAAATAATACTCACTCATTCTTTCTGATCATTAGGAAAAATGCAGAATAAATCCACGCTATAAAAACATCCCACATACATCTGTCAGAATGGCTTATCAAAAAAACAAAACATGACAAATGCTGACAAGGATGGAAAACATAAAGAGCCGTGTGTCCTGTGGACTGGATTTACTACACTCACTGGGGAAAATGATGCGGAGGCACAACAAGGTGAAAGTAGGGCAGCAGGTATTCATTCTACTGACAAACATGCCTGCTTCCCACATACCTGGCTTTGATACACAATTCCCATTCCTGTTACCAGGTTCCCGCTAATACAGACCTGGGAGGCAGCCTTGACCACTCAAGTCATTGGGTTCCTGGTGTTCATGTGGGAGACAAGGACTGAGTTTGCAGCTTGCAGATTCAGCTCAGCCCAGCACAAACTAGTGTGGACATTTATATGAGGAGTTAACCAGAAGATGGAAACACTCTTCCTCATTTGCTTTCCCTTTCATCAATAATTTTTTAACTAATAATAGAATTACCATATGATCCAGTCATCTCTCCTCATGTATTAAGTCAAAAGATCAGATGCCAATTCGTTGAAGACATGCCTGTACCCCCCATGTTGCTTGCCGTTGTGACTGCCACCCACAACAACCAATGTGAGGCATGTGTGTTCATCCACTGACAAATGAATTTTAAGACACCATTGAAGGTCTGCCACTTCCAACAACATGGATGGGATTGGAGAACTTTATACCCGGTGGAATAAGCCAGGCATGCAAAAAACAATATATATATATGATATGATGTATGATATATATATATGATACATACATATATATCATACATATATATCTCATACATTCTCACTTACTTGTGAAATCTAGAACAGTAAGTCGCAGAGGTGGGAAACAGAATGGTGGTGACAGAGGCTGTGATATGGGGAGAAAGGGAAGATGAGGGTCATAGGATGAAGAATCCCATTATCATTTGAGAATTCTTAGATCTTCTGCACAGAGTGGTGATTGCATTCAGCAACAAAGTCTTGCACGTTTCAAAAACTGCTAAGAGAATCAACTTTAGACGACCTCGCACAAAAAGCATCAAGCATTTGATGCTATGGATAGGCTACCTGCTTGATTAAATTTTTCCACATTCGCTTCATAAGTCACATTATCACTTCGTATCCCATAAATGGATATAATTACAAATATTTCATTGCAATAGAAAAGGAAATTTTCTAAAACACTGCAGAGAAAAACAAAACAAAATCTTGCTCTTTGGAAAGCTCAATCAACTGGATAAAGCTGTAAGTACACTGATTAGAAAAAGAATGAGGAAACAAATGACTGATACCAGAAATGTGAGATGTTAAAATGATAACAATAAGAGAATAAAAGAACCAAGCTTACACGAATAATTTATAAATTAGGTGAAGTTCACAAATTCCTTAAGAGAAGCAGGACACCATAAGTCACACAAGAAGAAATCCGTAACATGAACAGAAATTACCTAAATCTCATACATCAAAATGAAACTGGCAATCCAAATTTTCCAACACGGAAAAGTTCACACCCAGATAACTCCACTGAAGAATTCCACCAAACATCAAAGGAAGAATCAGTACCATTTCCTCCACAATCTATCCCACAAATTAGAAGCATAGAGAGCTTCTTGATTCATTCTATAAGAGATCAGCATCACCACAAAACAAGATGAAGATATTGCAGGAAAGGAGTACTGTAGATCCTCAGAATCACAGCTGCAAATACTCTGAAATCTCAAAAAATCATATTCATTAATATATAACAGTATGTTAAGTAAAAACAAAATACAGCATAGCAAAGTAGGGTTTATCAAATAAATGGAAGATTTGCATAGAGTGCAAAAAAAAAAAACAAGACTATATTCAATGTTGGTGCAGTGGGTAAAGCCATCACCTGAGCTGCAGGATGCTGCCCCACCTCCAATCCATCTCCCTGCCAGTGGCCTAGGAAAACACTGGAAAACTGGTCAAGTTCTTGAGCCCCTGCCACTCACAGGGGAGATGTGGATGAAACTCTTGACTCCTGGGTTCAGCCAGGCCTGAGTACTGGCCATTGCAACCATCTGAGGAATGAACAAATGGGTAGAAGATCTCTGTCTCTCCTTCTAACTCCAACTTTCAAATTTAAAAATATCTTTTACAAAGGGTGAAGAAAATGAAAGTGGTACAACTATGACAACAAAGAAGCAACCAAATGCCCATCCATGGATGAATGGAAGAACGAATGTGTGCAACAGACATTGCTATAATTTCATATCATTTGCCCCCCAGAGTTTAATCTTCAAAGACTTAGCTTAATGATATTAAGAGGACAGGAGCTTTATTCAATTACCACATGTAGAAGTGGAATTTTAGGCCTGTGGTTCCTACAACTAAAGAACTGCGAGCCAACATCAATCTGTCATCGTTGTAAACCTAGCATCCCCCAGGCATATATGATCACAAGAAAATGGAGCATTACACAGCCTTGAAAACAGAAGAAATACGAGCACTCTAGCATGGGGGAACCCTGAAAATAAGACGTTGTTTGAAATGGACAGCCACGAAAGGATGACTGCTTATGTAATTCCACTTACATGAGGTGTGTGAAATACACAACTGCACAAAATCAACAACAAAGTGGTGGTTGGTGCTTGCTAGAGGCTGGGATGAGGCGGGAAGAAGAGTTACTGTTTAAAGGAAACAGAGACTCAGTTTGGGAAGATGAAACCAGTTCTGAATGTGGTGATGGCGCCACAGCAATGTGACTGTACTTAATACAGAACTATCAGAACTACACACTGAGTAAAGAAAAAAAATGGTACATTTTGATTTTAAATGGTAGCATGTGTTTGAGTTCTCAAAAATATAACAAACCAAAAAAATTAAAGTGTAACACCATCAATCAGCTCTATCAGAAAATCCCTCTCTACAACTCAGATTTTCAATTAAAAATTTGAAAAAATAATTTTTTTTCAGCTGAGTTCTTGTCTAAGTTCATGAAATTGTCAGAGCTGTGGTCTGCAGGACCTCAGGTTCGGGGGCACTAGCTTCCATGTGCTAGTGGCCACCTCCCAACCTACTCTAAAGTACTGAAGAAATGGCTCTGGGTAAAGCCCCTGTCTTGTAATCACTGACCTGCACCACATGTGTCAGTTGGCAGGAAGCCATTGCTTGCCGACCTCTCTGTGCCAAGATTCATGTTAAGAAGTGACAGAAAGATGTGGTTGGAGAAGGAGATGAAAGCGACAGAGACACAGCTGGCCTGGAAAGAGGGGTGGAGAGTTGTGCAACAAACAAGGCAAAGAATGACAGCCCGTCCTCCTCTTCCTTCAGGCTCGGGAGTCTCACGTGGACGTCACATCCCATCCCAAATGATCCATTTCTGGGCTACACTCTGCTTATGGCCTCAGAGGAAACAGAAGATAACCCAGGGCCTTTGTGTTGGGGACCCAGAGGAGGCTATTGGCTCCTGTGTTCGAATTAGCTCAGCTCTGACCACTGAAGCCATAGTAAAAATCTGATCTTCCTTTCCAAAGTAAGTTGGAAAAGCAGATCCACAGAGAGAAGGAGAGACAGAGAAAAATCTTCCAACTGCTCTTCACTCCCCAAGTGACCACAATGGCCAGAGCTGAGCTGAAGCCAGGAGCGAGGACCTCCTTTGGGTTTCCCACGCAGGTGCAGGGTCCCAAGGCTTTGAGCCATACTCCACTGCCCTCCCATGCCACAACAGGGAGCTGGATGGGAAACGAAACAGCTGGACACAAACCAGTGTCTATACAGAATCCCAACACCTGGAAAGTGAGGATTTAGCCACTGAGCCATCACAAGAGGCCCAAAATAAATAAATCTATTTTTAAGAGTTCTTTATTTTTATTGGAAAGTCATATATACACAGAGGAGGACAGACAGACAGAAAAATCTTCCGTCTGCTGACTCACTTCCCAAGTGGCCAAAATGGCTGGAGCTGAACCAATCTGAAGCCAGGAGCCAGGAGCTTCTTATAGGTCTCCCATGCAGGGTCCCAAGACCTTGGGCCATCCTCAATTGCTTTTCAGGCTGCAATCAGGGAGCTGGATGGGAGGTGGGGTGGCCAGGGCACAAACCAGCACCCCACATGGGATCCCAGCACGTGCAAGGCAAGGAATTTAGCCACTAGGCTACCACACCAGGTCACAAATATCTTTTTAAATTAATTAAGTAAGTTAAATAAAAACAAGGCAAGGCCACATTCAGGTGATGTTGACTGGATGTGGTGGAGGCTCAGGTCTCCACCCTAATGTCTCTAATGAGAATTGAGGTTCTCTCTCTCTCTCTCTCTCTCTCTCTCTCTCTCTCTCTCTCTCTCTCTCTCTCTCTCTCTTCCCAGGAGAGACAGCAGGCCACAGGAACCCAGTAAGCAGTCCATTGGCCGTTGGCACCACCACCCAGAGGACCACCAAGAGTGTAGAAGTGCTAAGACAAACGGAGGTGCCCCACTGCTCAGAGGTCTCACAAACAGGAGGTAAAGATAGGATCCTTCTGCAAGGGAGCTGCCATGCTAAGCACATGTTTATTTGTACAGCCTAATGGGAGAGATAGAAGTTCAGAAGGTGCTTTCAGTGCAAGAGGGCATTCTGGAGCTGAAGCAAGCTCCCTGCTTGGTGAGACCAGGAGAGCCAGGTTCCAGTCCGTTCCTTGTCTTTCTTCCTCTTCAGTGAACTTAGGATGTCAGACACCTGTGACTCATCCTTCTACCCCAATTGTGTGTTCGTTCACACAGCACATGTACTTCCTGCTCTGGGCTGTGTTGCAGTTAGACAACGCAAAGCCAGAGGTGGTGCACACCCTCCTGGAGTTAGAGGCACAGGGAGGTGGGACCGACACCTGCACAGACCTGTACCACTGCTTCAAAAGGTGCTCCAGGCACTGTGGGAGCCTCAAACTGGGATTAACTGTCCTTGCTTCGAAAGCAGGGAAAGTTTCCCAAAGAAGTGTCAGAGAAGGCAAAATCAGGAGAGTACAGCAAGACAGTTCAGCGGTGCAGGAAGATTCCAGAAAGGACAGCAGCCCAAAAGACTCCCAAATCCTAAGGCGATGTGGTGCGGTCATAATGTGGGCAAATGAATACATTCTTTTCTATGCCAGGTTCTTGTCTCATAGACATGTTTTCTGAGTGAAAACTATCATCATATGCTGATAGGAAGTGGGTTTATTTAGCAGTGAGGGAACAGACATGCATTCATGTGCAAGTGTGCACCACTCCAGCCCCCACAGAGGCACTCATGAGTGGACTAAAGAGCTGTCCGTGAATGAGAGAGAAAACAAAACTATATTAAGCCAAAAGGAAAAAAAAAAAGACGGTACCTTTAAGTAAGAACAAGAACATTCTGTCCTGGAGCGGCCCGTGGTGGAAAAAGAGCTCTTCCCAGTCTTCACTTCCGGTTTACAGAGAACGCGGTGGTGTCCCGCCCACACACCCCTGCAACCAGATATGCAAAGGGTGGGGCCATAGCCTGCACAGTGGTCCCAAATACAACAAGAGGCATCTTGGGAAGGTGGGCGTTATCAAGCTAACAGTTAAAGAGATAGCATCAACTTTCTGGAATAGGAGAATTAGAGTTCACTTAAACCTTCACAACCCACTGAGTTACAACGTATTAATCTGAGAACCTGGAAGCAGGCAGGCTGGAACAAAGGAGGGAAAATGAAGACTGGAGCAAGTGAGTCAGGGCTGGGTGTATGCCAGGCCAGGCAAAGCTGCTCCACCTTGTCAGCAAGTGCATAGGTTGGCTCAGGGTAGGGAGTAGTATAACGGAGGTTAGAGGAGAACGGACCTGGGAGGGCCAGGCCAAACTGTAACACATTGGCATGCGTAGAGCCAGGATGGGGTGCAGGCCATGCAAAGCTAGGCTATCACACCTACCAGTCTGCATGAAATCCAGGGATGAGGGCAGCCTGGGCAAGTCTAAGCTGCAGCAACCATCAGTGAGAGTTAGGACTGAGGATGGGCGAGGGCAGGCCAGCCCAGGCTGCAGCATCCTATGACAAAGGCCAAGATGGGGTTAGGCCGCACCAGGCTGAGTTGGAGCAACCACCGGCTCAGGCAAGATCTATGGTTGGGAGTGGGCCTGATTGAGGGGTTAAGGGGATGCCCTGGTTGGCCTACAGTTTCCACTGGTGAGCGTGAGTCAGAATGGATGTGGCAATCTGAGCTGGACATGGCTGCAGCATCTCTCAGCATGAGTGTGTACTGGGTCTAGGGTGTGCCAGACTAGGCTAGGCTCTAGCACCTGCTGGTGCTCACAAGAGCTAGAGTAGGTATAGGACAGGCTGGGCTAGTGTTGTGGCCTAAGGAGTTGACTAGCACTCGTTTAGCCGAGCACACAGGTGGTGGGCTTGGGGCTAGAAGCACCTGGTCTCAGCTGTAGCCAATATGCGCTAATGAGGGTGTGGGGTAGAGTAAACAAGAAGTAGGTGAAAGGTCAAGAGAGGAGACAATAAAGGGAGGCCTTGAGAGGCTTTGGAGAGAGACTTTCACCATCACAGGTCTCCAGTCTGTGCCTCAATCTCTCAGACCCCTCGACGTGTCCCCCGTTACTCGTGCTGTTGGCTGTAACAGTCTAGGTCTTGACACACACTGAGCCACATGAAAGCTAGGTCTGGGAGTGGACTAGGCAAGACTGTGCTGTAACATCCAACAGTAAGAGCCAGAATGTGCGTCAGTGGGTCGGGCAAGGCTGCAACACCTGTCAGGATAGGAGGTGAGCCAAGTCAGACTGGGTCTAGAACCTGCCAGTATGCGAGATCCTGATAGAGGAGATAGGGGAACTCCTCTTTCAAGAAGCAGTCCCTGCTGGTGAGCACAAGAACCTAAACTGGAAACAGCCCAAACCAGGGCAGGTTTCAGTATCTGCCAGCATACATGTGGCTCAGATCTGAGGGCAGGCCAGGCTAGGCCAGTTCCTAACATCCACTGGCAAGTGTGAGAACCAGGATGGGGTGCAGGACAGGCCGGAGTGGGCCGTGACACCAGCCAGTTCATATTAGGAGCAGGACTCGGGGATGCTTGGGCTGGATGAGGCTGCAGCACTCACCAGCATAAGCTAGAACTGGGGACAGGTTGGGCCAAGCCAGGCAGCAGCGCCCACCAACAAATGCCAAGGTGTTGTGGGCCATGCCAGACTGGGCCACAGCACACTAAGACCCAGAGGGGCAGGGAAATGTTCTGGGGGCTCCCCTGCTGGACCAGCATCTACTGGTGCAGAAGAGAGCTGAGACTAGGGGTGGACTAGGCCAGGGAAGGCTGCAAAATCCATTGGCCTGCGTGTGGCCTAGGTTAGGGGGAGAACCAGGTTGGACTATGTGACTATAGCCACTGGTGCCATGCATAAGTCAGAGCAAATGCAGGCTGGTTAGGTTTTGTTGCAGCATTAACTGGCAAGTGTCAGGACTGGGGACAAGTCTGTCAGGCTAGACTGCAGAACCACCTGGAAAATGTGAGATCTGGAGTGAGAGTGAACCTAGTAGAGAAACTGGGCATCCCTTTGATGGGCTGTAGCTCCCAGCAGTGGGCAGGAGAACCAGGGCAGAAGCCTGCCTGCCTGGAATGATGGTAGTACCCACTGACCTAAGTGTGGGAGGGATAGTAGGGTAGGCTGGGTTGATCTAGCCTACAGTGTCTAATGATACATACAAAAGGTAAAAGATGTAGGACAGAATTTACCAGTCTGGTGCACATACCAGCATGCACAGAAGCCGAGGCTGGGGGTGACCCTGGTGGGGGTTTCTAGAGGTTGCTTCAACTAAAACTGCAGCTCCTGCTAGTGTGTGTGGTTGGCAGGGCTGGGCCGCAGCATCCATTGGTTTGCGTATAAGATGTAGCTGGAGACAGAACTGGAAAATTTCAACCACCAGTGTGTGTGAAGGCTGATGTGAGTGATGGACTGAGCTGGACCACACACTGGCTGGCACATACAGGAGTCAGGTATGGGGTTATCTCTGGCGAGATTTCTCTGGGGCACTCCAAACTGGACCAATGGATTCAGAACTCCAACCATGGGGAAAATCATAGGATCTGTAGTTTGATCGTGGAAAGCATGTGACAGAACTGGGCCTCCTCAGTTGCTGAAGCCTGTTTAGTGGACAGTATGCCCCGATACACATGGCGGACAGAACAGCTCATTGTGACCTACTGAGGACATCTAGTACCATGCCAGAGAATGGAGGACAGAACAAATTGGGCAACTCTCCAAGCCAAATTTTGACAGCCAATATCTGGGCGAGTGGAGACTAAGGTGGACTTATGTCAGCCAACAGACCTTGGAGGCATTTCCTCAACCTTACAGCAACAAAATCAACAGCATATCAGAACCACTGAAACCACTTAAACAGTAACCTCAGAACATGCTCCATAGCGGGGACCCTGGGATAACATTAAATGTCTGTCCCCCATCCCTGAGTACTGATGTGGTTAGGCTACTGGGAGCAGGCCTCTCCCTTTCTCTCTCCCCTTCTCCCAGATACAGGAAGGAAAAAAATGGAAACAATTATCTCATCCACTTTCTCCCCATTCCTCCTTCCTCTTCTACCCTAATCATGGCCCGCATGGGCATGAATCCTTCTCAACTATATTAACATCTTCAAAAATAAAATAAAATTATTTTTTAAAAAAAGAAAGAAACTACTTGCTCCACTTCCAATCCTGCTCCCTGCCGATGGTCTAGGGTCAGTGGACCCCTGAACCAGTATGAGAGACTTGGACGAAATCCTGGCTCCTGGCTTCAGCCTGGTTTAGTCCTGGCAATTGAAGCCACTTGGTAAGTGAGCCAGCAGTTGGAAAATCTTTCTCTTTCTTTCTTCTGTCTCAGCTTTGACTTTCAAATAAATAACTACAAAATAAACAGCCAAATTTTGCTTAAAATTAAATATAGAAAGAGAAAAGATAAACACATACAACAAAATCATTGAAAATGATTTTAAACTAAGGATGAATACATGGACATTCATTACACTATTGTCTTTCATTTGTATGCAACTAAAAATTTTGATAATGAAAAGTTGAAATAATTAATTCTGGTGGTTAAATTTGGGCTTACTCGCTAATAGCCAAATTTGAAATTGAGTCTGGGAATGAAGCCAGAATCTGAGAGAAGTAGAAGAAATATTGATCTTTATAGCTTTGTTTCCCATCCAAGCACTAACCAGGCCCAACCCTGCTTAGCTTCTGAGATCAGACGAGATCAGCGTGTTCAGGGTGGTATGGCCGTAGATGATCTTTATAGCTTTGTCACCACATCCCAGCCCCAGTTCTCCAGAGAAAGCGAGAACTGTCCCGATCCAGATTTGTTGTGATTTGAAAAGGATTCATTCCCTCAAACTCACACAGCTGTTTAAACCCCAAGCTTCTGTCAATGATTACTAGCAATGGACTAGGTGGAGGCTTAACCACAGTGTCTAAAGATGGAGCCTTTAGGAAGTGATCCTTTTGGAGCAGTTTGCCAGCTTGGAGTGCCCGACCACATGCCAGTGGCTTTATACAAAGATCACAGGGATAGAAGAAGGTGTGTCCGCACTTCCTGGTTCATCATGTGATCCTGTGACCTTTCACCCCACAGGTGCAGTCATGACACACCAGAGCAATGGGGCTGAAATAAACTTTCTCCCTTCCTGAGCAGCTCCTCGCAGGTATTATAAAGTAGTGAAATATAAGACTAATATAAGGCAGAACCTGCATTGTTCTGTTGGATCCAGTAGCCACATACACACCAAGGACTGAAAAAGACCGGAAGTCATTGCATTTTAAATTTTTCCATGAAAACAACTTGAACACTCACCTGAGTGATGATGCACTGGTTTGAAGAAGGTTGTGCCCTTGAATCACATGAACCTAAAAGCCCCAAGACCTAAGTTAGTGTTCGTGGGAGAGTAGAGATCTGCTATGGATCAAACAGGACTTGGCTCCCCAAACTTAGGCAGACACTTGAACTCCAAAGTCTTAGGTTAGCAGTCACTGGGTTAATGATGTTGGCTGATGGATTGGGTCACAGACATCATCCAATTACGTTGACTAACGGGAGCAACTTAGGGTAGTAATTGGAGTGAATAAGCTTGCTGGCATAGAGTCCATGTTCAATACATACTGATTTTTTAAAGATGTGTTTTGTTTATTAAAAAGCAAAGTAAAAGAGAGAGAAAGGATACAATTAGAGATCTTCCATCCACTGGTTCACTTCCCAAATGGCCATAATGGCCAGGACTGGGCTAGGTCAAAGCCAGGTCTCCTGCTTGTGCACAGGGACCCAAGCACTTAGCCATCTTCTGCTCCCTTCCCAGGCACATTAGCAGGATGTGAAACAGAGCAGCTGGGAGTCAAAACGGCACTCACATGAGATGCTGCCATTGCAGAGCAAGGCTTAACCAGTGCCACGGGGCCAGTCCCAATCCATGATGGTTT